GAGAGGACCTAGAAGCAATGGTACCTCTGTAGGGACAAACACACAGAGCATCCAGATCTTAGTTTCTAATACGATTCTCTGATAAAATGAAACCAAGCCTCCTTGGAAAAATTGCTGCTTCAGTGACTTAGCAGAAAATAAACAAGGTAAGACTAGAGAATCATGCAGTGCAAGACAGCGGGTTCCAAAAGAAAACATACATACACACACACACACACACACACACAAAATAATGGGGGGGGTATGTCAAAAGGACAGAGGAGCAAACTAAAACTGCTCCCAAAGGGCAAAGTTGCAACAATTTGGGCAACAAAACAAATAATCTATCATTGGATTATGAACCAAAGTATTAAATAAATATACAAGAATCCATGTTGATATATAAGTAAATGATTGAATAAATAAATGGGAAAGAAGAGAAAAATCATTCATACACAAAATGTCAAATAATTTATGTAGGAACTCTGCCCTCAAGGAGGTGGAACATAACTCCTGGCTTCTTAAGAGTGGGCAGCACATATGACTTCCTTCCAATGAGTACAGTGTTGAAGGTGGGGCAGGGGGTAACTTTACAGTGAAGAAACATAACTAACAGGGGAGCTAATCATAATCCCGGAAGACATAATCCCAAACATCATAATTCCACATGTTGAAATCTCAAAAACTCAAAGTATTAAAAATGTAATTCTGGAAAAATAATTTTAAAAATTTCTTTTAAAAATATTTATTTATGTTTTTAAAAGAGTCTTTGAGAAATACACCAGAACACTTCATAGGCCACTTTACACAATGAAATAGGCAATAACATATATTTTTGCAAACATACACACTCAGATATACTAACAACAGTTGCAGAGATATAACAGTTATAAACAGAGGAACTGTATCCATAAAGAAATAGGTCAAAAGCAAAATGTAGATACCTGTAGATCACGATGGTTGGTAATTGTGAGCACCAATGTTTATAATTTCAGTTATCTGAAATACTGTAACAGGTGACCTAAGTCGTTTGATGAGATGGATCAAAAACTGCAATGGGTCACCGCTGCATATGCAGTTGCCCAAAGAGCCTAGATCTCAAAAAATGTTACCTTTCACAAATGCAGATGTACAAAGAGGACATCTCTTCATTTATTGAGAAAGTTTTGGTGTTTTTATGTACAAGCACAATGCTTACACGCATAGTCAGTGTTATGATAATGCACTTTCAGGAGGACAAATTTGCAAAAAAAAATGCATAAAACAAATTAGAACTCTCCAAAAGTCTTAACACGGTTTATACCTCTAGTATTACAAATGATGCAAAGAGAAATACTTAGCATAGCAAATTGTAAAATATAATGCCGACACTTTAAAATAGTGGGGGAAAAGTAAGAAAAAAACTAAAAAGAAAATTCAGCATATGAAAAATATATTACAAGGCTAGAATGTGGGCAATTGTACGTAGTCCATAAGAACTGGCCAACTGCCATGATCATTAACTATTCTTTTGAAGTCTTGCATTGTGATGAATAGCTGATTTTTATCTTTTAGGCATGGCTCTCCTCAAAGAATAAGTTCACATTCATTTTCTATGTGGCACTGCTCTTTTTGGAATTCTTCTACGATTCAATCTGTATTGACAGGAGCATTTCCCACTAAATGTTCCCATGTGTGCCACATTTCTACATTGTTTTGGGTATGTGGAAATTAATTCTGCTTGCACCCATATAAAGACCACAAATACTGATGATAGAATGGCAACACTGCTGTATAAGTATCTTCTTATCCTATCATGAACATAATTATTTTTGAGCCAGGCAGTAACTTTGCTGGCTTCTTCAGGCAAATGCAGCTTTAATTCATTAAAAGTTCCTAGGATTTAATCAGCTGGAAGAAACGCCAATGCAGAGAAATGATAAATTTTTAAACTGAAGTTTTCACTCTGTCCATATCACATTGTGTGGCCAATCCACTCATCTGAACTTTCTGCCAAAAGTGTATAAAGAGAATAATATGCTAATAGTTTCACCTTAAATGATGCAGCTAAAACAAGGCAGCTATCCTCCATACAATTGAAAATGCACTAATACCTTCCCCAGAATGTGCATTTCAGAATTTCAGTGTTCAAGATATTGCCTCTCATTATGATCCAAACTTAACAAATATGACTTCAGCCATGTAATCAAGATTCACAACAGTCATAAATTATATTGACAGTATGTAATCTTTATATGATGTGATGAAAATGATGCTTTACCCCTTTGCTCTTCCTCTTCAGATCCCACAATCCCAGTCTAATCATAAGAAAAACATTAGACAAATCCCAATTATGAGACATTCTACAAAATACCTGACTAGTACTCCTCAAAATTGTCATAGTCATCGAAAACAAGAAAAATCTAAACTCATAGCCAAGAGAAAGAAGCCTAGGGAGGTGTGACAACTAAATGTAATATATCCTGGAGGCAATCCTGGAATGGAAAAAGGTCATTAGGTAAAAACTAAGGAAATCTGAATATAGTATAGATTTTAGTTAATAACTTTTAAAATCACTGGGGAATAAGGAAATAACGGAAGAAAAAAAAACAATGAAACAAAAAGCTGGTTTCCTGAGGTCAATAAAATTTTAACACCTCTAGTCAGGCTCTAATCTCTGTTTCTAGAGACTGTCAACTAGGGTCTCTCTAATCAGCATTTAAAAAAAGAAAATATACAAACTACCTTTGTCAAGAATAAGAGAATTCTATCGTTACAGATTCTACAGATTACAGATCTTAAAAAATAAACGGAATATTATGAACAATGTTATGCCAATAAATTCAACAACTTAAATAAAATGGACAAATATTTTGAAAGACATAATATTGGCAAGGTACAGTGGCTCACACCTATAATCCTAGCACTTTGGGAGGCTGAGGAATGTGGGTCACCTGAGTTTAGGAGTTCGACACTAGCCTGACCAACATGGTGAAACCCCATCTCTACTGAAAATAAAAAAAAATTATCCAGCATTTTTTATTTAAAAATAAAAAAATGGTGGGCATCTGGGTACAGTGAGCTGAGATCACACCTCTGCACTCCAGCCTGGGTGACAGAGCAAGACTCTGTCTCAAAAAAAAAAAAAAAAGACATAATATCAAAGCTCATTTGAAAATACATAAATAACCACTATCTCTAATAAAGAAACTAATTTTTTTTCTTAAAAGCCTTTCTACAAAGAAAACTCCGGGGAAGATATAAATTCACTGAGAATTTTACCAAACATTTAAGAAAGAAATATCATCAATTCTACCCAAAATCTTCCATAAAATTGAAGAGGAGGAAAATCTTTCCAATTCATTCTAATAAGGCCAGAATTATTCTGATACCCAAACGAAGCAAACCTTACAAGAAAATGATGGACTAATAACCCTCATGAACACATACATGAAAAATTTTAACAAAATGTTAACAATTCAAAACCAAGAATATATAAGAAAAAAGTTGTTAAGGGAAGGAGACAAGATGAGAAACTCTAAAACTGCAGCTATTGCTTCATGCTGCATGTTCCGTCCTCCGAGAACAGAAAGAGAATGTGAGGAAAGAAAACAATATCCTGCATGGCGAAAATAGTCCCCTACAAAAATATCATGTTGGACAATTAATCTGAAATAGTGGTATCTCTGGGAAGCAGTTTAGCACTGGTGAGTTTGGACTTTCACGGCAGGTTGCTTCAGCTCATATCTTTTGGTGATGATACTTATCCTCTGTAAGGCCCATTTCTTTTTCTGTGAAATGAAGACAATAGAGTACTTATATATAATTTACAACAATGTCCACCACATAGTAAACACTTAATAAATGGTAGCTCTTATAAAAAGAAAAGAAGAAGAAGAGGCAGAAGAAGAAGAAGCAGAAGAAGAAACAGAAGCAGCAGCAGCATCCACTATGGGCAAATGGAGTTTATCCCAGAAATGCAGAATTGTTTGACATTTTAATATTAAACAATAACTTCTCCATATTAACAGGCTCCAAAAGAAAAACAGTATAATCAACTCAAATGATGTAAAAAAAAAAGAAAAAGTATTTGACAAAATCCAACATTGATTCTTGATAAAAGCTCTCATGAAACTAGGGATAGACAGGAAATACCTCAACTTGATAAAGGGCATCTGTGAAAACCCTACAGCTAACATCCTACTTAATAGTGAAAAGTTAAATGCTTTTTCTCCAAGACTGAGAACAGAAAAGATATTTACGCTCACCACTCTTATATAACATAGTACTGGAAATTTTAATCATAGTAATAAGGCAGGGGAGAAAATTAAAAGCAGACAGATTGGAAAGGAAGGTATAAAATTGTCTTTCTTTGCAGATAACATGATTAACTACATAGAAAATCCTAAGGAAAACTACAAAATAAAACTAAAAATAATGAGTGAGTTCAGCAAAGCTGCAGGATACAAGAGAAACACACAAAAATCAATTACATTTCTATAAAAATGAATACATGAATACCAAAATTTAAAAACACAATACCATTTATAATCATTATTTTTTACAATGAGATACTTAGATATACACTCACTGAAATGATGTATAGTATCTTTATGGTAGAAATCTTAATCTTCTCAAGAAAGAAATCAAATAAAATCTAAATAAATGGAGTGACACACTATGTTCATGGATTGGAAGACTCAACCTAGCTAAAGATTTCAATTCTCCCCAAACTGATCTATAGGTTTAATGCAATTTCTATCAAATCCCAGTAGGATTTTTTGTAGATACAGCAAACTTATTCTAAAATTTATGAGAAAAGCTATGGGCTCTAGAATAGCTTAAGCCATCTTAAAAAAGAATAGTAAAGTAGGAAGCATCACTTTACCTCATACTAATATATATATTAAAAATATACATTTTATATATATGTGTGTGTGTGTGTGTGTGTGTGTGTGTGTGTGTGCGTGTGTATGTTATGTATATAAAAACTTTTGCTCTGGGAAAGACCCAGTTAAGAAGATGAAAAGACAAGCTACAGACTGGAAAAAAATAATTGCAAGCCACATATCCAACAAAGAACCAGGACTAGAATCTAGGATATGTAACTCTCAAAACTCAACAGTAAAAAGAAATACAATTGAAAATGGTCAAGCTCCTGTGGAGGCGAGTGAAGCGCCTGCTGCTGAAATTTGGGGGCAAATAACTGGAGCCTGTTGGGAACAGGACTTATAAAAGGAACTATGTCTGGAAGGCTGTGGTCCAAGGCTATTTTTGCAGGCTATAAGCGGGGTCTCCGGAGCCAAAGGGAGCACACAGCTCTTCTTAAAATTGAAGGTGTTTATGCCTGAGATGAAACAGAATTCTATTTGGGCAAAAGATGCGCTTATGTATACAAAGCAAAGAACAACACAGTGACTCCTGGCAGCAAACCAAGGCACCTCGGGCCCACAGAAACAGTGGCATGGTTTGTGCCAAATTCCGAAGCAACCTTCTTGCTAAGGCTATTGGACACAGAATCCGAGTGATGCTGTACCCCTCAAGGATTTAAACTAATGAAAAGTCAATAAATAAACGTGGATTTGTACTCTTGTATTTTTGTTAAGTGGATTAAAAAACTTAAGAAAAAAAAGAAAAGAAAATGGTCAAAATATATGAATGGGCATTTACTTAAGAGAATATCCTGATGGAAAATAAACAGATCTAAGAGATATTCAACATCATTAGCCATTAGGGAAATGTAAATGAAAATAATGACATCACTATATAACTATCAGAATTGCTAAAATAGAAAAAAATAGTGACACCACCAAACACTGGCAAGAATATGGAGAAACCAGATCATATTGCTGGTGGGAATGTCAAACTGTAAAATGGTACATCCACTCTGAGAAACAGTATGGAAGTTTCTTATTAAATTAAACATACAACTGTCGTATGACCCAGCAATTGAACTCCTGGGCATATATCCCAGAGAAATAAAAACTTAGTTTCACATAAAAGCAATACACAAATGTTCATATCAGCTTCATTTATAACACCAAAAATTGGAAGCAAGTGAAATGTCGTTCAAAGGTTGAAAGGCTAAGAAAACTATCACATATCAGTACCATAGACTATTACTTAACAATAAGAAGAATAAACTATTGATACATTCAACTTGTATAAATCTCCAGTGACTTATTAGGAGAAGCCAATCATAAAAGGTTGAATATGGATGATTCCATTTATGCGACATCCTTGAAATGACAAAATTATAGAAATGAAGAACAGATTACTAGTTGTCAGGGGTCAGGAACAGGTTGAGAAGGAAGTGGGCGTAACTTTTAAAAGAGCAACAGAAAAGACCCCTTGTGGTGATGGAACAGTTCCATGTCTTAACTGTACTAACGGTAATGTCCTAGTTTCAATATTGTATTGTAGTTTTGCAAGATGTTGCCATTGGGGAAACTGGATCTCTCTGTATTATTTCTTTCAACTACATGTGAATCTACAATTGCCTCAGAAAGAAAAGCTTTCTTTCAAAAAAGTTATTGTATTTATGCACAATAAGCAAATTGATATTACAATTTGAAAACGATTCAATGTTTAACAATAACATCAAAAATGTAAACACTCTGAGATAGATCTGACAAAAGCTAGGTTTGTACACTGAAGAGTTGTACACTGAAAACTACAAAACATTGCTTAGAAAAATTTAGAAAGACCTAAATAAAGAGAGAGATAAACCATGTTTGTAGATTGGAAGGCTGGATAGTGTTAAGATGTCAATAGTCCCCAAATAAATCTATAGATTCAATGCAATTCCAGTTCAAATTCCAGTGGGCACTTTTCAGAAATTGACAGACTGATTATAAAATTCATTTGGAAATGTGAAGGACCTCCACAAACTAAAACAAAACTCAACTTTGAAAATGAAAATCAAGGCTGCAGAACTTACACTATCTGACTTCCAGATTTATTACAAAACTCCAGTAACCAAGACATTTGCATAAAGTTAAACAAATAGATTAAAGGAATAAAATAAAAAACCCAGCAATAGTCAAATGATTTTCAACAAAGGTGTTGGCAATGGGGTAGAGGAATGGAACTCTCATACATTCTTAGTGGGAATGTAAAATAGTGTAACCACATTGGAAAACAGTTTGGAAGTTTCTCATAAAGTTAAACATATTTCTAACATATTGTCCAGTTATTTCCTTCCAAGGCATTTACCCAAGACAAATGAAAGCATATGTCCATAAAAGACTTGTACACAAACATACATAACAGCTTTATTTGTAACAGCCAAAACTCAGAAATAATTCAAATGCCCACCAACAGGTGAACGCATAAACATGTTGTGATGTGTCCATGCGATGAATGTTACTCAGAAATAAAAATGAATGAACTGTTGATAACAGCAGCAACATAGATGAATCTCAAAGTCATATATTCAGTGATAGAAGCTAAACAAAATGATCTAGAATGAGTATAAAATTCTGGAAAATGCAACTGATCTACCATAACTGAAAGCAGATCTGTAGTTGTCTGAGGATGGAGGTGAGAGAAGGAAAGGGCAGGAAGGTAGGATTACAAAGTGATGTCAGAAAAATTTGAGGGGGTGAATATGTTCTTTATCTTGACTTTGGTGATAGTGTCACACAGGCATATACATATGTTAAAAGTTATCAAATTGTGCATGTTAACTACATATAGCTTGCCATTTGTCAATTACGCATCAATAAAGGCTTTTAAATTATATATAGACTCTCAGTGCTTAGAATCAAAATATTTAGGGGTGAGATCCAAGAATCAATGTGCAACCTGGATTTGAAACCACTGAGGTTGGCTATCGGGAGATAGGCAAAAACGATCAGAGGGAATGGGGTACTATGGAGTACACAGATGTGACAGTATGGACCTTAAAGTTCTTACTAGAAAGTTCTATGATCTGCAATTCAAATGCACATAATCCCTGAGAAGGGAAGTATAATGACATAATCAAAACAGAGTTGTTGCAGCTTGATGCTTGAAGAACCACGGAAGTGGCGATTCCTGTGTGTTCTCAGAACAGTGATGACTGCCTGAGTCTTCCTGAGTTTCAGGGATGCCAAAGGCTGGTCAATGTTTATCTCAATAGATAAGTTAATTGTATGATATAATTCTAACATTCAGGATGGTGACTTTTTTTTTTTGAGACCGAGTCTCACTGTCACCCAGGCTGGAGTGCAGTGGCTCAATCTTGGCTCACTGCAACCTCCACCTCCCAGGTTCAAGCGATTCTCCTGCCTCAGCCTCCTGAGTAGCTGGGACTACAGGTGCATGCCACCACGCCCAGCTAATTTTTGTATTTTTAGTAGATACAGGGTTTCACAGTGTTAGCTAGGATGGTCTCAATCTCTTAACTTCACGATCCGCCTGCCTCAGCCTCCCAAAATGCTGAGATTATAGGAGTGAGCCACTGCGTCCCATAAGAATGGTGACTGTTATAAATGATTTTGTGCTAGAAGTTCTTTATGCTCTACATTTCAACTATTCTGCCATACACTCAGAGCAGATGAGAGCTTTGGTCCAATCAAGCATGCTGATTGACAGAACACAGTGAACCTACACACGGTGCTCTGCTTCCATTTGTCCTCAGCTGACTTTCATTATTCTACTTCTCTTCCAAAGCCTAGTTCTATGTTCCTTCCTTTGTGATTCTCCTCTCTCAGGATGAATTACTCTGTGCTTAATGTATATTTCTTTATACATAGTATATATTTCTTTTAAGATTTAATCAATTTTTTTTTTTTTTGAGATGGAGTTTCGCTCTTTGTTGTCCAGGCTGGAGTACAGTGTTGCAATCTCGGCTCATTGCAACCTCTGCCTCCCAGATTCAAGTGAGTCTCCTGTCTCAGCCTCCCGAGTAGCTGGGACTACAGACGCCCACCACCACGACCGGCTAATTTTTGTATTTTTAGTAGTTTCACCATGTTGGCCAGGCTGGTCTCAAACTCTTGGCCTCAGGTGATCCATCCACCTCAGCCTCCCACAGTGCTGGGATTACAGGTGTGAGCCACCATGCCTGGCTAAGAGTTAATCAAAATTTTTAAGGTACGACATGTAGTCCTTAGATATGGGCCTGTCCTGTTCACTAGAAAGCAAGCTCTTTGTGGACAAAGTCTGTCATTTTATTAAGAGACTGCAGTAAGTGCGTTTATGAAGTGACTGCCCAGCCCATAACATTCCCCTCTAACTGTCTGCCCTTCCACAGCAGCAGGAACCTTTCAGCACCTATGCTTGAGCTGTATGATCTTGTTCTCTGAGCTGGGCCAGAGTCTCTTCCCCAGGAATTTGGAATTGGGGTACAGCCATGATCTGGCTGTCTCTTGGCCCCTTGCCCTGCACACAGGTCATTCAGGCATTGTCGGGTGGCTGACCTGGTGGAGCTCAGCATGCAGGGAGAGAAGGCAGCTGACTCGGAGAAGCAGAGCAGGAAACCAACGGGAGCATCTCACTCACCCTCTGTCTTGGGTGGCTTGAGATTCCCCTAATGCCCTCCAGACATCCTTTCTTTTCTGACAAAGCTGTTCTGAAGTGGCATTCCATTATGAGCCACCTCAAGAGGTTTCATTTTAATAGTTACATGACCACAAGCCAACTTATACCTGCTATTTTCGGTATGCTTATTTTATATTATGCTTATTTTAATTATTCAGAATTCCTTTGTGAATTTAGTAGAGCCATTTCCAATGGCGAATCCACATCAAATGCTTCTGTTTTTCCTTAAAGTAACAGCAATGCTGTGTTTTCTTGTCGGAGAGGAAGCCACCGACGGAGGATGAGCTGACCTGGGTTTCCAGTGAGAGGGAGGGAAGGAGGCATCTCTTCCTATCTTGAGACACCGAGGCAAAGATTTATACTTGGAAAACCCATCCTGAAGATCAAATGCCTCAAAATTTCCCCATTTTGAAATTTTTTTCTTATATTTCATCGGAATTCTGCAGACCTTAACTCCAGGTTTTTCTCAGAAAGTCAGAAAGCAGTTGTTATTGGTCTCTCACATACATACGAGCTATCATTAAGGTGCTGTTTAGCCCTTTTTTTGCTAGGCTAAATAAACCCATCTCTTGGCCTTCACCCTGCATCGTCTTTTTGGCTTGACCCAGACTGGGATCTAGGTTGCTCTTCTATTCCCTGCTGCCTACATCCTGCTTGATTCCCACATTAAAACAGGATGTTGATAAACCTTCTTTCCTCCTCCCAAAGTCACTTCTCTTCCCTCTCTTCCATTCTCTCTGTCACTTCCAAACTTGAAGCACTTATGAACTCTTGCCTGTGTTTTGTAACTAACACCTCTGCTCTCTCCTATCTTCCTGCATCCTACATAGAACTGCTGACAAAGATGCCCTCCTTCACCAGTTCATTTTTCTAAAGCCTAGTCACGATTATAACATTCCCTGACTCAAAACCCTTCCCTCTTGCATATACAACAAAGTCTCAGCTCCGCAGTCTTGCATTCACCCCACATTCTGCATCAGCTGGTCCAATTAATCTCCCCCTTCACTCCCGTTGTGCTTCCTATGGTCCAGTCAAGCATGCTGATTGACAGACACGACACAGTGAACCTGCACAC